GGTGGCAGCAGGATAGTTGTGACAGGATGAGGTCCTCGTGGCATCTCGCCACCGATGCCGTGATGCCATTAGTCGTAAGTGGCGTTTTCCTTTTGATTTTGGTGGCATTTGACTTTATTAACCGAAACTACTCCGGGCTCCTTAGCCCAGGTGCCGTGTGAGTGACTGGGTGCGGGGCTGTCTGGCAGCATCGAAATGGGTCAATATGTGTGCGCTCCACTTGGGCGGCTCATGCAATATGTATTCAGCCGGCCGCAGTCGAGTGACATCCTTGGAGACTCGGCGAAATGAGCGAAGCGGAGGGTACTGTTCGTACGGTGGGGTGTTTGCATCTGGTTTATGCACGCGACGCCTTCAGGTTTGAGATTTGTCCGCTCCATTCTGGGCGTGACAGGCGGGGAATACGGCGACTGTACCTGCTCAATCATTCATTTGGCCTTTGTTTATTTATTTTACTAATGGAATTATTTTCTGCACCACTTGTTGGCGCTGTCCGTGTAGTTAAAGCTCCTTGATTCGGATTCATCCGCAGGTTGGTGGCTAAGATGCCATGTTGGACTACCATTCATTATAAAAAGTGTACGTTCAATGGTGCCTATCGGATAGTTTAATGCTATTTACTGTTACTATTCATATGGTTAGCAAAGACCGCTTTCTCTTTTGAGCAGTCTGATCCCTTAGAGTTTCGCAACTGGGGCTTGTCAATGCTTCATCTGCTAATACAACCTGCAATCAGCGATTGTGGATCTTTTTATGTATTGGCAATGTGTCAGCGCAAGGCGAAGCCAAGCAAAGCCAAAGCTGTCACCACCTGGGGAAGCTTGTGGGAGGAGAAGTGCCGAAGGCATCGTCAGCTGTAAATCATGTGACATGTATTAAAATTACAATGAAGCCGGCACAAAGGCCGCTCGATGGATACTGCGGAGGAGGTTTGAGGACGTAGCAAGGACATCAGCGCGCTATGCCGGCAGCAAAGTCTGCGAATGGTAAGATGGAATTGTAATTTCAGCTTTGAATATGTGCCAGAAGGGTTCTGCTCGGAATGTCATTCACTGGCAGTTTTGGCATTTTCCCGGCTTAATTCGGTTCTTTTCTTCGGGCTTGTGTATCGGCCAGACAATACACCTGCGCTACACACTGGCTGTCACTCCGGTTCTCAAGACGCAGCTTTGCAGAGCACATACGCACCCCATTTATTATTGTAATTTAATAAAGGCAGGCAAAGGAAGACCAAGGGCCAGCCCGACAACTCACATGAAATGGAGTTAAATCGGAGAAATTGTCATCGGGGCGAAATTGAAAGTAAATTTCCTCCAGCCCCCTCCTCCGAGTCCCAATCATTTTATTGCTGCAGCCCTTTCAATGGCTGCAAGTACAAGAACATGTAAATCAATTTGTCGAATTTTCCTTTTTACTTTTGCTGGCCTCCTCCGATCGATCATCTCCTCTGGCACGTAGTTGCTGCAGTGAACTCGAAGAACAGATTGAGTGACAGGGGTAGAATGCTAAAATGTATGAAAAGTAAAACAGTTGTTCGCAACAATTGTTATTTTTTGAGAAATAAAATTAAAAAATATTTTTTCCGTTATTATAAACAGATTTATTGCATGTGAATATCAATAGAATGCATATAAATAATTGTTTCAGCGCACTACGAACTTTTGCAATAATTGTACTTCATCTTTATAAACAAAGAATTAATACACAAATAAACTATATTCGGTCGAAAACATAAACAGCCGTTATTTGTACACATTAAAAATTCCATTGTCCAAATTTAAAAATATAATAGTTAAATGGTCGCAACCCCAATTGTTAGTGTGACCAATGAAATATACCATTATAAGTAGAATGTACATGGAAAACAATGTATTTTATGATGCCGTTTAAAATGTTCTTAAAAACATAAAAAAAAGTTAGCTTCGGCAAGCCGAAGTTTGTATACCCTTGCAGTTATAATTATTACAAAAAAAAAACAAGGAAGAACGCTATAGTCGAGTACCTCGACTATCAGATACCCGTTACTCAGCTAAATAGAGATATGCAAGCAGCACAGTGAGATTAAAATGCGCCACCTACCGGCGGTATACAGATTTAAGCGTTATGGGCGTTAGAGTGGGCGTGACAAATTTTTTGGACCAGCCACAGTTTTGGGCGATTTGTGGGCGTTAGAGTGGGCGTGGCACTGTACTGAAACAAAATTGCGCTGCGCATGAATCTCAGGAATCTGCGTGCCTAATCCCAGTATTGTAACTCTCATAGTTTCCGAGATCTCAGCGTTCATACGGACAGACGGACAGACGGATATGGCTAGATCGACTCGGCTAGTGATCCTGATCAAGAATATATATACTTTATGGGGTCTGAAACGCTTCCTTCTGCCTGTTACATACTTTCAGACGAATCTAGTATACCCTTTTACTCTACGAGTAACGGGTATAAAAATATACGATCAAAATCAATAAAGAAAGATTTTTTAAAAAATAAAAATTTCATTATGACGGCTGTATGTTAGAGTCGTCCGATTTTAATTAAATTTCATTAAAAAAAAATAAAAAAAAACAAGGAAGAACGCTATAGTCGAGTACCTCGACTATCAGATACCCGTTACTCAGCTATATGGAGATATGCAAGCAGCAAAGCGAGATTAAAATGCGCCACCTACCGGAGGTATACAGATTTAAGAGTTATGGGCGTTAGAGTGGGCGTGGCAAATTTTTTTTTTGGATCAATCGATAGGTATCGACGAGACCAATACATTTCAGTTAAAATTTTTTATCTAGCATGAAAATTGTGGGCGTCACAGGTTTTCGCGGTTTGTGGGCGTTAAAGTGGGCGTGGCAAACTTTTTTTTGGGGTCAATCAATGCGCTGCGTAAGAAGCTCAGGAATCTGCACGCCAAATCTCAATAGCCTAGCTCCCATAGTTTCCGAGATCTCAGCGTTCATCCGGACGGACAGACAGACGGACAGACGGACAGACGGACATGGCTAGATCGACTCGGCTAGTGATCCTGATCAAGAATATATATACTTTGTGGGGTCGGAAACGCTTCCTTCTGCCTGTTACATACTTTCCGACGAATCTAGTATACCCTTTTACTCTACGAGTAACGGGTATAATGATATTCCAAATAGTATAAGATAATATGTCAAAAAACACTGAAGCTAAAATTTGTTTAATACAATTTTCCCACTAATTTACCGATAGTTCCTACGGCAGCTATATGATATTGTCGTCCGCTTTTGATGAAATTAAATTCGAAATTCAGAACTAATTAAAAAATGTTATTTCCAATGTTATTTATCATTACCTATCGATTGGTTTTTCCTATTTGAACAAGAAGTCCCACTATTTGTAGTTTTGTTATAATATGTTGATAGCTTTATTTGGGCATTAGTTTTAGTTATTTAAATAAAGCTAATCTGTGGTGGGTTGGGTTAAGGATAATATAGACTATATCTTATAGTCTTTGGTTGGTCTGACGGGGATTCCCACATATATGAGAGAGTTCATGCTCTCGATTATTTCGTAATGGTTTTTTTTCGATCCCTGCAGAATGTGCTTATGTAAATTAGATATATTGAATACCTTGCGGTAAGATTTAATTATTTTAATTAAATTGAAACATGTTTAACATCTTTTACTAGCAAAAGTTGTTCGAAACTTTTTCCAAAGTTGGTCATGGTCCAGGATCATCGACATGACATGCGGCTATGAATCGGAATAAAAGTGTCCCGAACGGAAAAACTTTTTCTTTTATTGGGGTTATTTGTTGAATATTGATTCCCCAATTGAATGCATTTCAATGAGAACGAAAAGTTTGCTTGCTGTCATTTTGTTTATACACTTGAAAATAATAAAGGCCATTTAAATTTACTGTGCCTAATAACACGTCCTTTAGTTGGTACACCAATGAACCATCACAGCTTATAAGTATTTTCGATTTAATTTATCATTACGGGTTTTTCAGGATTTAATATATACAACTCAACACACATCACTCCTCTTAAAAAATGCTCAAGTGCAATGGGTATATTATAAAGAATTTTGGAACCGAGAATAAGTTTGCCTTTTAAAGATGATCAAAAATGTTAGCTGAACTTTGTGAAACCGAATGGTTTTAACACACCGAATTTGTTTTGCGGTTTACTTTTGCATCGTATAGTGATATCACTCTTACCAGGTTCTTATAGCCTTGCTAATTATGTCGCTTGTTTTTAGAATTGGAAACCTATAAGGAATAAAAGAAATTATTGTCATGCGCTTACACTTAAATTTAGTTGGACTGTTGGTATATTTGCTGGCGCCCTTTCTTCAAATTCGTGCTATCCGCAGCTCAGGAAATTGCTCACTCGTCTACGAGATACCCTTTAAATTCGTGTGCAAGGGTAAAGTGACTAATGATATGTACACCTTGTTTCGGGACAACCGAGCACCAGCGGGAACGTCCTACTCCGTGTGGCACAGCGAGGAGGAGGACGACGACGTTTCGATGGTCCTGATTACGTTCCACTGCCCCCAACTGTCAGGCCTGGACTTCATCGCTCTGGATAAAAATGTGTTTATGCTTAGCCAATTCTTCGTAGGGACTTCAGGGAACGGATCCTTCCAAACCATTCTTGTCTCACCGTGTACACTCCACTGCTTCCCCTTCAGTCTGCGCTATCCGAGAGAGCTGGAGAGGCATTGCCTTGGAGAAGACTTGGGTGACGGAGACGATGTCACCAAGAAGCCGATCCTGTTCTACGGTTCCCTCATGGTAAAAATCCCCGAGGCCGTGAAGAACGATGCTCGAACACTCAGTCTGCTTAGGGCGTTGCTGGTTGTCGTGTATGCGAAGACTATTTATTGATAATACATAGATTCGTACCAATTAAACAACAAAATTACAAGTACAAATTACAGTGTTGATTATTTTCAATAAAACTTGGGTTACGATTACTATCGATGCCGAAATGTCAGCCATGATTTATCAGTCGGTACACATCCATACCCGTTTCAGACCCCACTCAGGCAGCCATGAGAGGGAAACTGTGGATACTGCCACTCGCATATCTTCTGTCCTCCTCCGAGGGCTCCTTCGACTCCTGCGAGTTTATGCTGGAAAACGAAATTCCCTTCACACTGGCCTGCAAGGCCGAGTACAGCACCGACCTCAAGCTGAACTACCGAGACATTTGGGTCAAGGCCGACGTGCCCTACTTTCTTTGGTGGAGGCGACAGCCGAGTCTGGAGCTGCTGGTCTCCTTCTACGAGTCCCCCATATCCCCGTGCAAGAACGTCAGCCTGAGCCTCAACTGTCTTCACTGCTCAGACACCGAGGAGCCCGGCATCCACATCCGACCCGAGGGCTTCCACTGCTTCGAGTTCTCGTTCTCCTATGTGCGGGCGCTGATGAAGCACTGTGGCTTGTCCCCCAAGCATAGGATCGATCGCGTGGCCATCCACTACGCGAGGCGGGTCCCCAACCGGGACATCCCTTCCGGGGCCAACCGACCTCGTCCTTGGACCCTCGGCAGGCATCGATGGTAAGAGGCGAATCGCAGGGCGGGGGCAACGAGAGAAACTTCTGTCAAGCGGGAGACAAGTGATCGGAACCGTTTTTATTCTCCTGGAAATTCCCATCAAATTTTTCGAAAATGATCAAAGAATCATTTGCTTATAAGCAATGCCAGTGCGCCTCTCAAGCGCACGAAGTCTGAATAACAAGTGGATCGACTGTCCGCCGCTCCATCATCCTCAGCAAACCCAGCATCCCCAGCATCCTCGGCATGCCCTGCGGCCGCCCCGCAGGCCACCGACTCCGACTCCGCCTTCGCCAAAACTCCAGCTCCAGCCCCACTCGCCGCTCCCTGTGTTCCAGCCAGTGCTCCTCCTAGTGCTCCTGCTCATCCTCGCACCCGCCCCGGCCCTATGCAAGGACGAGAACTGCACCTTCCTCGAGGGCTACATCCTGCAGTTCGTCTGCCACGGCACCTACGTTGAGGAGATGCGGCTGCAGTACAAGGACCGCATCCCGGCCATCGGGACGCCGTACGCCATCTGGAAGCGGTCCGACACCCACGACCCGTCCTACCTGCTCATCTCCTTCTACGACTCCCAGCTCTTCAACTGCTACACGGTGGTCATGAACAGCGGCAAGTTCTACTGCGACGGGCGCAACTTTATCGAGCCGAATACGGAGGCCGCCCGGCTGCACTGCATCAACTTCCCGTTCCACTATACCACACACCTGTACGATGCGTGCTCGAAGAAGCCGAGCGAGGAGGGATCGCCGCCCATCTCGGTGGCCATCGCCTACATGAAGGACAACATCAGGAGGACGGATGGGGCAGGACATCGCTTGCAATGCCCCGCGGTTGTGCCCCTCCTTGTGACCACGATCCCCTTTCTGCTATCGCGATATTTTGGTATTTTACTATGTCAATAAAATGGTTCCGAATAGTTATACCGTCGATCAGTGGTGGGCGACACAGATTGCGGCTGTGGATTAACTATCCTGTCGCCCAGTCCGCCGCCACCTCGCTCCTCGTCTGCGGCTCGTTTGCCCCGTGATTGCATGCATTATCTCGAAGCTGCTTATTTTACTCGGATAAACAAAATGGGCGGCGACCTCTGGCTAGCAGTTCAGCAGAGTCCATTGTAGTTGGACATTGCTGTTGTGGCATGAAATTTTAGACATCCCAACAATGGCAGCCAAATGCAGGCATGGACAGCCGCACACACAGGCACGGCTAACTGCCATTTTCAGGCACCCAGGAGGGGGCATCACATTTCATTGTCGTCATTGTCATTGGCGTTGGCGTAATTTATGTGCTTATATGGACTGCCGCCATATTGGCCTGTACTGGACCCGCAAAACTCAAAACTTGCGGGGTAGAGACTTTAAGCAAAGTCATTAGCTCTGTGGGGTTAAAGTCGGGGTCGCAAATCGCATACGCAGTGAAAAGTTTCTCTTATATTTTATTGACTGACAGAAGAAAAGGGGAAAATCACTTGGGAATAATTTTGAGCAAGGTTCGGAAGAGCTCTTTATTCTTCCGTCCTTTGGAAATAGTCGTCTGTAGGAGTCGGGTTGAGGATCCTCCCATCGCCAGCCTTTCCTTGAGGTCGCGTCCACTCTTGGCCTCCTCCAGCTTACGCACTATGTAGAGCAGCACGAACATGGAGCAGAAACGCATTTTGACCAGACTGAGTTTACTAGAGTTTCGAATATATCAGTTGACAGCAACCTCACTTTTGAAGCAAGACGCATGCCAGACAGGGCAGCAAAGCTTCTAAGCCAGGCATTCCGGCAGCAGAACCCAGCTTAAGTTTTTTGGACTTGGCAGCATAGTGGACCGCAGCTGCTCCCTCCCATTCCGCACCTAAAAAATGCGTAATTCGTGGCTTTGTGCACTCGTATATCAAGTCGTCCACGTAGCTCATTATGTTCCTGTGGCAAAATACCTGGGAGTCCGGCAGTCTCAAAGGCGATTCACCGTCCCCGCAAAAGAAGTCCAAGCCATCGTTCAGCTGGATCGTGCTTTCACAGCTCTGTACTGGAGACTCGTTGAAGCTAACCAGCAGAAAGTAGAACCCGTTCTGGAGATGGTAGAAGACCTTGTAGGGTGCATTAACAGTAGTCAGAGCGTCCTTGTATTTCAAGAAGAGATCGGCGGTGTAGACTCCCCCGCAGAGCAACTCCAGGCGAGCTTCCTGGATCAACGGGCAGGAGAGCTCGTTCCACCCGTCCTCCAGGGAAACGGATGGTCGGCACGTCGTTGCGATTGCCAAAAACAATGAAATACCCAATCTGTGCATCGTAGATTTGTATCAATTCAACTTGAAGTTCCTGTGTAAGACGACTACGTAAACATCGAGTAAGTGCGAAAATGTAGCCGCCCAAACTGAATACGATAGAGAACAAACTCAGAATGCTTATCCAAACATTCACACTCAAATGCCGCTGCACATTGAATGTCAACCCTGGAGTACCCGGTGATGAATATCGCATTAAAAATAAGGGAAAGCAGCGCGACGAGTCTGTATTATCGTCATTAGTTTCTAACGTGGCCCAAACAAAGCCCTTCCTCTCACGCGCATGTCCTGATTTTCACACATGGCTGATAATGCACACACACGGAGCAGCATTCCAAACAGGATATGGAAAGGGCAGGGCTCGCTAAGTGCGCATTTGCGTGGGACTTTCTGTGAATTTCTTTTTGTTTCTTTGGAGCGGCCTTTCACTTTCACCTGCACACAAATAGGCGCTTACAAATGCGCACAAGTATAAACACACAAGAGATGGCTTCAATACTAAAAGTAAGGGTTAAAACTTCATAAGTACCGAGTAAATGGTGGGTTCCAGCGTTGATCCTTCACCCCAATCCCAAATCTGTCAGAACAAACGGCATACGAAAACAATAATTGATGTTTTCCTTTCCTAATTTCATTCAGCTTTGATTGAATTAAGAGTCATAAAAAGGAACGTTTCCCATAACGGACCCAAATTTAGTTTGGCTGTCCCCCAGCCAACATGCACATGTGCTCCCCCACGACCCTTGTCGACGCTTTTTGAGCAATTAAAATTTCTCTGTGCTCTGTGTGCCATTTTTGTTATTGCCGTGGCTCTGAATGCATTTTTCAGCGCTGAATGTTTTCTGTTTTCTCTATTTTTTCGTTTTGTTTGCTTGTAAAATAAAAATTACGTATACGCCAACAACTTCAAATGGCGCAACATGGCGTATGCGTGATGTTGTTGCTCTTACTGCCATATTCCGCTGCACACCGGCTGCCATTTCCGCACCAAACAAAAGCAAACAGAGCGAATGGCAGATACAACGGCCGCCCACTCCTTCCTTCTCTCGCAAGGACCGCGCATATCTATAAAATACGCAATTACAACATGTTGCCGCAGTCGCAGTGGCAGTCGCAGTCGCAGTGGTTCTCGACGCCATTCCCCTCCTCGCTCCCCATTCCTGTGGCTCCCTTTATGAATTTATACATAACCCAGCCCAGTCGAAGCCCTTTGCCCCGCTACACGCCCCGCAGAGTGCACTCGCTTTGTTGCATCCACTCAGCAGTTGCCATTAGCGGAGTGCGATGCGAGTGGGGATTTAAAAATACATATCTTTGATATGGTAATGCTTAGAGCATCTAAGCGGTGTCCACGGCGCGAACTGCGCAGATCAAATCCGGCAGGATCTCGGCGAGAGTGGAATTATTCAATCCCCATTCGAGTTAAAGATCTTCCGCCGGTCGCGAGTTTCAGGTGACCCCGGCGAAAAGCCAATGCCCAGATTCAGGGCAATCTCTGCTCCAGCGAAGCTCCAGTGAAGCTCGTTAGGGGCTCCTTTCGCCCTTTATTGTCACTGGTTTTGTTTTTGTGCAGTCGGTTACAAATGGCAAGTGGCACACGCTGCAAGGGTTCGCTGGGAAACAAGGTGGAGCCGGGTGGCCCTGAGTTATGCCCTGCGATATGCGCGAACTAAGTTAGTTTTGTATATTTTATGTGCAGTTAAGCGTTTGCATACTGCATCTCGGCGAGAGGAGCAGGAACAGGTGTCGAGGGGAAACCCAGCGCCAAATGGCTTTGCGAAGGGAGGAATTGCGGAATGGAGGGCTCCAACCTTTCAGCATATGATTGTGAGTGCTTAATTGGTATCAAGTTGTTGCTGGCTGTGCCCCTTCAAGTTGCTGAAAGAGCTGTGAAGGATGGTTTTCGCTAAAAATGCCCTTCTCAAATGGGATTAACTGCATTCCATGGCTCAACCAAACTTAACTCCTTACATCAGTGTAACTGATCGATAAGGAAAATTTTGATTTGTACTCCTTTGCCCCAGAGAATCCTTCGAAAGCGCTGCAAACGCGATAAATTAAAACAGTAAAAAGAAAGCAGAAGAGGAAAATATTAAATCTTCTCGAGTGCCACCCATCGACCGGCAAGAGGGGAGGGCGGGAAAACGAGTAGTACATGAAGTAATTGGAGCAATAAAACCAGAAACCGTGTGAATAAAAATAAAGAACAGCTTCGACGACTACCGAGCTCTGGATACAATGATGTGGCTGGGGGAGGCGCAGGGGCAGTTCCTGGCTGCATCCTGGCAGGTAGTAAAGTAACAGGAATCAAAATAATAAATCAAAATTGTGTGAGCTTGTGCAGGAGCACCATCCAACAGTTGGCAGCTCCCTGCTCTTCCTAGCCAGGAGTGCCAGCTGCACTGCACTGCATGCCAATGGAGACCTCTATCCCCCTTCTTCGACCGCCAGGGATGTGGGCGTGACACGGTGCGGAGGACTCTGCCTTGGCCGTGAGGGAATCTTCGGCCACGCATTTTTACTATATAGACATACATATACTCGTATTAGAGGAAGGCCGATAGACTTCGGACGAAAACCTTATTTCCTTTTAATCCCTGATTGGTACAGAATTTTTGTTAAGAAACGAAAACTACATTATTTTATGATTTTATGAAATCAAAAGTGACTGGGATTCATATAAAAGGTAACAATTTCTTGTAAAAGCCGACGTCTAACGATGGATGATGGTTAACTCT